TATAGGCATTTGTCGCCTGATCGGCTTAGAAATCTTCCCAAGGCCGCCAGACAACCTGTTAACTTCTGAACCTCTCGGATGGTACGAGGCGACTGCATGTCAATGACCGCCTGCACCTTCTCAGGGTTCGCCTCTATTCCTCTCTGATTGATAAGGAATTCGAGAAATTTCCCAGACTCGACTCCAAAGACACATTTCTTGGGATTGAGCATGACATGGTGCCGCCTGAGTGTGGCGAAAGTTTCTCGGAGGTCCGACAGATGATCTTTCTGAAGTTTAGACTTGACAATCATATCATCAATATATGCCTCGACATTTCTCCCAATTTGATCAAAGAACACAGTGTTTATCATTCGCTGGAAAGTGGCCGGGGCATTCTTAAGACCAAACGGCATGACCGTGTAACAGTATAACCCCTGATCAGTGACGAAGGCCGTCTTCTCCTGATCTTTCTTCCATAAAGGAATTTGATGGAAACCAGAGTAGGCGTCCATAAAGCTCATCAAAGCATGGCCGGCTGTTGAGTCGACCAGGTTATCAATTTTAGGCAGAGGGTAACTGTCTTTGGGGCACGCCTTGTTTAAGTCTGTGTAGTCTACACACATTCTCCAGGTGCCATTCGGCTTTTTAACAAGCACCACATTTGCAACCCAGTCTGGGAAGTAACATTGCCGAATGAACCCTGCATCAAGTAATTTTTTAACTTCGGCGGCTGCCGCCTGACTTCTTTCTTCGCCATGGTTCCGCTTCCTCTGCCTTACCGACTTCTTTTTCGGATCCACAGCCAGTTTATGTACCGCCAGGTCAGGACTAATGCCTGGCATTTCGTGGACTTCGAATGCAAAGATGTCCTTGTATTCTTTCAATAGTTTGTAAAAGTCGTTATCCAGGACTCTCAGAGCAGTCGTCCCAACTTTGACTGTTCGGTCAGGACGCGAGTCGTCTAAGATCAGGTCCGTATGCTCACCAGCCGGCTGAGGGCGGAATTCATCCGACCGCTCCTCTGCCAATGATTGCTATTTTCTGTCTTTTCTTGCGGCCCCCGTCTGGGATGCCTTTCTCTTCTTGTCGCCTGCTTCTTGAACAGACGCACTCTCCTTGACATTGTCAAGGTCTATTTTTCCACCACTCGACCCAGTGGCCATAACAGTGGGCTTGACATCCGAGAGATAGCACTCTCGGGCCATCTTCTGATCTCCCCTTAGGGACCCGATTGTTCCATTATCCCTCTCAAACTTGAGCAACATAAGAGATGGGATTATAACAGCCTTGGAATTATTCAGGGTTGGTCGTCCCAGAATCATGTTGTAGGCCGAGAGTTCTTATACTACCAGGAACCGGACTACCATGTGTCGTCCTTCCCCTTTTTCGCCCAGGCGGATGGGTAAATCCACTCGTCCCACTGGGTGGACTCCTCCTCCTCCAAACCCTACTAAAGGGTGGGATGCCGGATGTATGCAATCAGTCTGATATTTTAGTTTCGACAGACATTTGCTACTGATGAGATCTGAGGAGCTTCCGGTATCTATGAGGATTCGGCCAACTCTCTGGTTGGCCACTTTACATTCAATAACGATAGGGTCGTCATGCGGCCCTCTTACCCCTCCTAGATCTTCTTTAGTGATGACAATCTCAGGAAATGAATATTTGGAGGGCCGTTCTTAGTGAACGGAATTTACATCTAACCGTCTGATATTGTCTTTGTTGCCCCTAATAGTGGGGCCGCCTCCTGAGAAGCCGCCTGCAATGGTGTAGACGACTGCATCATCTGTATCGGAGTTGTCGGCCTGTTGATTCTTTTTGGTCGACTGCTTTTTTGAGGAAGTGTTCCCCGTAGATTTCTTGACATAAGTGTCAAGATCACCTTGCTCAGCCAGGCGGTCCAGATACCGCATGAGACTGATGCATTCATTGGTGTGATGACCAACATCTTCATGATAATCACAGAATTTTTCTTGGTTCCGGTTGTTTGCAGAACCCTTCATGGGGACCGGCTTCTCAATTGAGATCCGTCCCTTGATTTCCTTTAGGATAAATTGGCTATCCTTGTTAAACGCATACTTTGGGGAGTATGGTTTGAATTCTTTTTTCTTTTTCTGGGCCGGCTGTTTAGAGGAATCAGCCGCCCAGACCTCTTTTCTCTTCTCGTCTTTGTTTGACGATTGTTTCTGTCGTCCTTCTCTTTTGTCGGACCTTTTCCCGTCTGACTGTTTTACCGTACTACAAAGATCAGTCGCCTGTATATAGGCTTCCGCTTCAATCAAGGCCTCTTGAAGAGTCGCCACCCTCTTTCGGACCAAATCAAATTTGAAGGTCGACCCGTCTTTGAGACCTTTGAAAAAGTCAGTATAGGATACTTCATCCGGTAACCCTTGAATCTGTATTCTCATCAGGTTAAACCGCCTGATGTAAGAACGAAGCCCCTCCTTCTCGCCCTGCTGAATTGTTCCTAAATCAAGGGTCGTCTTCTTCGCAGGGATGTTCATGGCGAAGTTGGAGGTGAATAAGTAAGCAAGCGTCTTGAAGTTATTTACACAACCAGTAGGCAGGTTGCCGAACCATTGTTGTGCGATTCCTTTGAGAGTCGCTGGGAAACACTTGCACCAAGTGGGATCATCCAACCCTTGAAGGTACATCAGGTTGGTGAATGCCATCAGATGGTCTTCTGGGTTAGTAGTGCCGTCATAGGCGCCTACTAATACATTTTTCACTTTGGCCGGCTGAGCGGCTTCAGTAATTTCCTTGGAGAAGGCCGACGGCTGTTCACCAAGTCTAAGCAACCGTAGCTTCCAGTCCATAGGTGGACATTTTTTGCTGCATGTCCACCAAACGGAGGTGGCTGTAAAAAATACTGTTGTTGCGGTACAAACGGTAAGTTTGGTACCGCCTGGTCGCTATGAAAGCCGGACTGACGGGAGGTGCCGCCTGACTGACTCTTATGATACGACTGAGTATGCCTCATCGAGGTATTTCGCAGACTGTCTTGGAGGTTTGAAGTAGAGGCCGACTCTGACAATCGGTCACTCTTCTTCTGCTCTAGCAGTAGCCGAGCTTCTGTGTATGGTTTCCTCGACCCGTCCGCCTGAATACGAACGGTATTTTGTGAAATCAAGGGCAGGTGGCTCCCACTTCCTAGATTTAGGATGAGGGGTCGCCTCTCGCCCTTGAACTGGTTTCCTCTTCTGTGAAGTGGAGGGTTTCTTAGCCGACTGCTCCTTGTCCAGAGCAGGCGGCTTCTTGTTGATCAACTCTTGAATTTCTCCCTTGAAGTCCCTCATGAAGGTCATGAGTTCACTCCTTGTGATGGGAGCAGACCCATCAGTCGGCTGTTGCCGAACAGGCGGTGCGCCTGCTGGCTCGCTTCCTGTATGAAGATGTTCCCGTTCCCTCCTTTCGGTATGACGGGTACGTCGGGCCCTTAGGGTCCCGTCTGAAGCTGTGTGAGCTTCAACTTCAAATTCATTCTCAGTATCGTGGTCCGACTGAACTAGAGGGTCGTCCAGGGGACGTCTCTCTTCAGGAGTCGGTACAAACGTGGATGCCATCTCAGAAGTACTCTCCCCACAGACGGCGCCAAATGTTTCGGGGTTTTCTGATGTCCTGCGGGAGAGTTACAATTCCGAGACTGGAACCGGACGCATGTACCTGCAAAACAAACGGATGCTCCGGATGATTGGAGATCCGCCTCCGACGGTCAAGTTAGTACTTGATTAAGGAGTAATTAATGCGGAAATTAAAGTGATTGGGTCTCTCTAGGTGAGAGTGTTTAATGTGTGTAATCTCCCTTAATGAGGATTAAGGGAGGTATTTATAATCTCGGGAAACGTGACAATCTAGGTTTAGGTTAACCTTGGGCTGATTGGGCTTCCCCCGGAAGTTGGGCCTAGGTGACCGGTTATCCCAGGTGTCATGGGAAGGACACGTGTCGTGTCGTAATTGGTCCATAGTGGATGGATCATTGCTTGACACGTGGCAGACTCCTATTAGCCCATGTGACGGACACATGGCGGAACCTGATTGGTCCACTTGTCAGATGGTAATTGGTGGGGAAAAATCCCCTAATCACCTAAAATTAAAAGATACATGGAAATATTAAGAAGTTTACTAAAATACACCAAATAATATTTCTAATAAATATCCTATATCCTATCAAATATTAGGAAGTATAATATACGATAGTATCAAATATACTACTCAAACGATGTTATCTCAAAAAAAATGATTTATCTATTAACCTATACAATTTTTAATGAAGATACTTAACGTTGTTAGTTTTTTTATTTTTTAAATGTGTTTAGATATCACAAACTCCAGAGAAAACTACTTTGTCCAAGCCTTAAAAAAAAGATTCGGATATACTTTAATTCTAGAGACTTGGCCACTGAGCCAACCCTCCTTCTCACTTATTAATTATTACTCCGTACTATTGTCATTCTTAATTATAGGGATATTTGGCTATTCGGTATTAGAATTTGTTAGATATGTGTTATCGTGTAATTTTTAAATATGTAACTTTTATTAACATGTAATAAGTTAATGATAATTATGAGTTATAATCAAGTTGCATTTGAACATTTCTAATTTGTATGATCAAATATAATTTTGACAATAATCTGAATTGATTTATGTTGAAGAGAACAATAGTAGGAAGTTTGTCTGAAAGGGTAAGGATGATTAATATAAGGTCCAAGAAGAGTTTATGAAGTGTGACACTTTTAAGGGTTGTAAGTTTGTAACTACACATTTTGACACTACAAAAGAGTAAAATGTATAATTTGGGATTCTTTTTTCATACTTTTCATCATTTGGGGACTAATCTTACCTAATTCATCATTGTGACCTAAATTCCCAAATCCACTCCCTAATGTAATTTGATTACAACTACCCCAATAAAATTCATTATATATAATTAATCAACGAATTATTTGTCCTAAATTAAATTATTTTGCTTTTTAGAGATACGTTAATTTTTTTTTTTCCAAAACAAAATAGTACCTCCGAATATTAGGGAGGGTGATGTACATGTTTTAGGTAAACAACAAAAAAAAAAATCACATTTGCGTGACTCTTTGAAAACCATATTGCATGTGAAAATGTGAAACTAAAAATAAATGGATTTTCTTCTATTAAAATGATCTCATTATATCACTGTCTTGTTCTCTGAAGTTTTCTCATTTCTCACCCTTCTAAAACATCCTCTCCTCCTTCACTATCAATGGCGAACTTTTTGCCCCCATCCGTCAAAATTCCATCAACCTTCTTTCCTGAAGTTGGGTCAAAATTTCATGATTTTACAATTGTAGAACACGTAGGAGCAGGAGGATTTGGAAATGTGTATTTAATAAAGCGAGAAGAGGAGTCATTTGCTTTGAAACTAATTCCAGTTGCAAAGGGGGAGTTATCTAAAGCAGTGATAAGGGAAATATCACTGCTTTATGATGTTGAACACCAAAACATCGTTAGGTATTTGATTTTTCTACGTTTTTTTTTAATTTTTTTTGAAAGAATTTCTACATTTGGTTGAGCTTGATTTGTGTTGTAGGTTGATAACCGTTTTCGTGGAAAGAGAAAATCTCTGCTTGATTATGGAGTATGTTGGTGCAGACCTGCAGGGTGTAAGTTGTCCTATAGAGGACAATGACAAAATTAAGGTTCGGTTTTTTATTAATTGTTGAAAAAAATTAATAAATTTAAGGATGGTGGTTTAGGGTTTCGCTTATAGTGGTTTAGGGTTAGGGGTGGCCGAAAAGGGTAGGGGAAGGGGGGGACGATTCCGGTGGGGGAATGGGGAGGGGGGCCGATTCCGGTGGGGCTAATGAGGAGGGGGGTAGTTTCCGGTTCGGGGTGGGGGGTCGAGGCAGCAAGAAGGGAAAAAAGATGGGCGTTGGTGGGGGAAAGGCAGTGGGGTTTGGTCTTCGGCGCCGGCCAAAGCATTGGGCGCCGGTCGCTGGTAGGGGGGAGGGGTGGTGGAAAGGGAGGGGGGTTGGGTGGCTGGGTTTTTCTGTTTATTTAAACATTTTAATTTTTTTTTTTTTTTTTTTTTTTTTTTTGTATTTTCAATATTTCTTCTAATTTATTGTCATATATTTTAATCAAATAGTCATTTCAATAAAATCTTTGTCATAATTTTTTTTTTTTTTTTAAGAAATCTTTGTCATAATATTAAATTGACACACACATTCTGGATTTTGAAATAGAAATTATTAAAGTATTAAAGTACACTGAAGAAATTATCATGGCCGGCCAATTATGAAGGGGGTGACAATACTTTACACTGATAATCTGCGATAAGCCGATAATGAAATGATAATAATTTGTGAAAGAAAGTATTTGGAGTTCAATCTGACAGAGCGGGAAATTTGGGCAACATGATAAACGGAAAACACAAACCCAAAAGGGAGAGGAATTTTATATAGTACGAGTAGTATCTTTATATGTAGGAAATATATTTAGAATAATCTAACATTGTATATATATATTTTTAAATGTAGGATTGGATGTACCAAATACTTTGTGCCGTTTCTTACCTTCACGAGAGAAATATTGTTCACCGCGATCTGAAGCCGGGCAATATTCTCAGGACCGAAGATGGACGGTTAAAACAAGCGGATTTTGGTCTTTCTCGAGGCCATTTGTTTCCCGGAGCACAAATTACTCCCCTGGTATTCTTTCATGTTTTTTTTCTGAGTTGATTAATAACTGTCAAATAATAATTATGAGAAATATTGCTTGCTTGTATTATGCTCTGTTGGCCGTGAATATATAGTGTACAAAGGATAGATATGTTAATATTTGCTATAATCACAAGTTCACAACTTAACTAAATTCTATCTTTTGCCAACTAATAGTATCAAATCAAATCAAATCTTCAACATATATCTGGTAATATTAGCACAAGCTTTAAATTCTGATTTGTGACATATGTTAGGGCCTAGTGAAAGAATATGATTGGTTGCCTTTCATTAGAGAACATTGGAGAATATATACAATGTACAACTACTAATTCTCCTTACAGCCACGTTGGTAGCCAATGATTAAGGACCTGGGAATAGCTATAAATATTCACAAGATATATACGAAGTACTTAACAAAAATAAGATATATACAATAACAACCGAATATATTTGACATATAATCTAACACCTAGGTAATAATATTTGAAAACTTATTTAAATTTGCATTTCGTTGTTCCTCATAATTAGATAATGAAATCCCTTACAAAACTTTTATTGTTATTATATGTCTGATTTTTTTTCTTTAGTGATTGACAATCCATTATATTTCGTTGTATTCCCTTCTTCTAAATTTTCTAATTGGAGTTTTATTACCATCAATCTATTTACTGATTGACTTTGGTTAAATCTTTGTTGGACTTTGGTTAGATCAAAGCCTTCGACAACTCCTCCACCATGTCTTTGCCAATCTTAAAAGTTTTAGATGATCAAATATCAATTTATATGTTCATGTTTCAAGCATATATATATTGGATGGATAATTGGATAAAAATAGAACAATGGATGGGATAGATCTATCAAGCTCTCTGTGCTGAGTCATCCCCTCAATGTTGCAATCAATTACTATTATGATTGTTTCATTTAAGGACCTATATATAGAATCAGCAAGTAAAATCAGTTTCCCCTTCTTCTCAAGTTTCTAATTTACCATCAATCTATCTACTGATTCACTTTGGTTAAATCTTTGGTTGGAGTGTCTCTATGTATACGGCTTGCTTTGATTTTAAAGGTGTTGTGTGCTTGATCTTCGTGTGATCGATTATTTTGATAGTGATATTCCTTTCGTAGTTTGAATTAAGTGATTGACAATGATATTATACTCTAGTATTTCATAAATTTAAAGATATATTGTGTTTGAGAGAGTTCTTGTACCATTATACTGTTGGCTTCTGTTTTGGCCTTTTGAGTACTTGGGATGAGCGATGTGTCGGTTCTGTTGGAAATAAATGGCAATCATGATGTAATTTCTTTTTTTTTCAGGAAGCAACCCCTGAATTTAGTGCCCCAGAGCTTTTACTCGGCTCAGGGATGTATACTACAGCCATAGACATGTGGTCTGTGGGTTGTATTTTTTATGTGATGATCGTAGGTGAAAACCCCTTTAGTTCTTATGCTATGATTGCAAATATGTTCCAGTCTAACCCGCCATCTGATCATAAGTCAACAGTGATTCTTGATACCATATTTAGGTACTTTACATTAATTATTTAAGTATTTTTGTAATTTTTTTAATGTTTGGTTTTTGTAAAAAATAATTGATACTAATAAGAGTTACTATTTAATTTATTTGAAGGCTGTTAGGTACGCCCACGGAATTAAGCTGGCCGGGTGTCACCCAGTTCCCCAACGAGTAGGGAAGTTTACGGTGTAAAGGTAAGATATGATGAAGTATAAAAAATATGTAATTTTGTAATATTTATGAAAATAAGTACTTAAAATATACTTATGTTTGAATGTTTGATTTGTTTAGGAGTTGGATGTTTTATTCAGGAGAAGAAGAGAGGGACCTACTAAAGGTAATGTTTAATTATTGTATAAATTATTTTAAATCAATTTATTATTTTATTTCGTATTAAATAATAATAAAAATTAACTTTTTTTTTTATATTTTAATTTCAGAGATTGCTGTGCGTTAATCCTAACGATAGGATTAGCGCAAAGGATGCTCTCAGTCATCCATACTTCAAGGACCTATGAAGAATTGGTTTAATACTCTTATCACAAACATTTCCCGTTAACTTACTTCCGCTTCCATAAATTACTTGTATTATTCATCGTTAATTTTTCCGTAACGATTTTTAAGATGTATCGGTAATTAATCATGAAAATACGCTTATTTGTTAATCATACACTTTTAAATCCTCCATTCTATAAAGACCTTACTTTTCGTTCAAGCTAGTTTCACTTTTTTTTCCCCTACTTTTTCTTAATGCCCTGTTTATTTGGTATTAAGACATTCTTTCTCTTTATCCTATCAAAGCCAAAAAGGACACACTTCTATATCCTCCCTTTTCCTTGACTTCAATTAGTACAATAATTGATTAAAATCTTAAAGAAGATAAGAAATTCAATATTGTTCCATGATTTTTGAATACCGACAAAACTCAAATTTGAGCCTAGATATGTACCACCAATAACACTAGCTACAAAGCGGGTGTACACCAACTATGAGGTTGGATGCGCTCAATGGCGCGGCAAATTATTGTCGATTCCTCTAATTGATTCCGGTGAGCAAAGAAATGTTATATAACTAGCTCTACCTTCTCTTTAGCAAGCCTTACCTCAACTCAAATGACCTTTTCTCACATGAATAAATTATGAATTTTGAGAGCATATAATAAGTGCATGTTAAATAGGCTAGTTTTCATATTTTATGTTGAATTTTGATAACATTATTGTACTGTCCAATTAAAAGAAAAAAAAAAACCACAAACAATGTGCAAGTAATTGAGTAACTTGAATTGTTCCAAAAAAAAATGAAAAAAATTGAGCAACTTGAACTCCATATCTAAGTTGTAACAACACTATACAATTTTTTTTATTTTTTTGAGGAAACAACGCTATACAATTAATTTCACTCCAAATTTGTACGGAGTATTATTTTTACAATCATTCTGATTGGGGCATTGAATATCTAGAGAAAAATTAAAAATTCACTATATTTACTACTCGTAACTACTAGTAACGTGACAACTAAATCCGAATAAATCGTATATAGTATGTATACATACATATAAGAACAACTAATTATGTAACATAACATAGAGAAGGAAAGAGTTAACTTACCATCATCACAATGAACGGGGACTAGAAGCAAAAGATAAGCATGAAGTAGAACCACAATGACATTCTTAAATTTAAGAATTAAACTTAAACATTGTTCAAAATTAGAATTTTTAATGTCACAAATCTTCAACCAATTTTTTATTTTATTTTATTTTATTATTTTTTATTTTTTATTTTTTATTTTATTAATTTTTTTTTTCTAATTCATTATATGTGTTCCTTGAAGCTACTAATTTTTTTTGATGATTAACATTTATTTTTACTAAATTTAATTTAATTTTACTAAACTTAATTTATTTATATTTATTGAATATACTTGTAGTCTTGTATCAATTTAAGGTGAAGTGAATGTGGCCTAAATTACTGTCTTCATCTTAAATAATTGAATAAGTAAACATTTTACATAATAAATGAAAAGAATAAGAATGTGGTAGCTAGTTTGCGATTGACGACAATTAACATTAATGAAGACGGAATACAATCAAACAAAGAGACAAGGAGAATTTATCGTGGGAAACCCGAGAACCGGGAGATAAACCCAACAAATCATTATAAAGTAATACTTTGATGAAGAACAATGTAGTTTATAAGCTTTCAAAGCACCATGAAAGCTCCCACCTCCAGCTCACCCTTTCCCACTCTCAAACACTAAGAGTTAGGGCATTTACAATTGAGGCTCTTTCTCTCTCTCTCTACATTTTCCCCTTCATCTTCTTCTTTACCCTAATACATGACTAACAAGAGTATATATATAGAGCTAGGCCTAAAAAACGACCTCACGGACATAAACAAGCCACGTCGGCCAATTGCAAAACCCGCAAAAGATAGTGCCCGAGACCCGAGCACATGCTGCGCGAGCAGCTTGACCCTCTGCGCGGGTGCCTTGCTGTTGCGTGCGCAGGGCCTGCCCACTGCTCTCTCGTTTGTTCTTGCTTCATTTTCTGTGTCCGGGCTGCGTGCGTGCATCGTCTCATGCATGCGCAACACCCCTATCTTCCTTGCTCTTCGGTTCTTAATTTCTATTAGCTAATTGTATAATTACTCTATTTTATTCAAATCTATACTCTTTTTTACACAATTATCTATGATGTCAAGATTTATATTGAAATTCAGTATACTATTACTTTAACAATAAAGATACGAAATTTACACACATGAAATATGATTTCGGATTTTAATTCAATCATTCAGTTTTCTTTGAAACTAAAAGTTCAATTAAAAACATCACACTCTTCCAATCCCTTTTTATTACGGCAAAAAACATAAAATTCCAATTGAAAAATTTAATACAATGTCGAATAAAATAAACAGAGCCGACCTTAAGAATCAATTGGGAATGTAATTCAAAAATACATTCTACTAATAATACAATTAATTAGAGATTAAACTATTGTATACACAATCTAATAAAATCGAATTTCTATATAATAATGGGGTTAAGAGATAAATTAATTGGCAATTGAAACTATAAATAAATCCTACCTCTTGATTCAAGTGGCTTATAATGGTGTTGCAAGCTTCAAGATTCTTCGCCAAGAGATTATATTGATTCTTGAGGGGCTCGAACTTCGGAATTCAAGTAGTTTCTTAATGCGTAGCTAGGGTTGAGAGCTGAGAGATTTTGATGAGATTATGCGGTTTTCCAAAATTCCCACTATTAGTCTTTTTAATTTTTTAATAAGCCGCTTTTTTTTTATTAGTCCCGCGTAGTGGAATACATTGTGAAATAAAGGCGGGATTAATTTGTGACCGATTAAAGTGTCGAGATTACAAGATATATACGAAGTACTTAACAAAAATAAGATATATACAATAACAACCGAATATACTTGACATATAATCTAACACCTAGGTAATAATATTTGAAAACTTATCTAAATTTGCATTTCGTTGTTCCTCATAATTAGATAATGAAATCCCTTACAAAACTAGTATTTCTGTAAACTAGTATTTCTTTTAATCATTTTATCTTCGTACATGTTTGTGAATTGTGGCCCATATATGGAATAATTATATTTGTGCAATCTTATTATTTACAACTTAATTATGGTTTTAGTAAAGGTTTATGTTAGGTTATATGTAATTCCATTTTTCAGGAAGCTACTGCTGAGTTTAGTGCTCCGGAGATCTTACTTGGATCACGAGAGTACGATACAGCCATTGACATGTGGTCAATTGGCTGTATTTTTGCTTTAATGATCAGCGGCGAAAATCCATTTAGCACTGTTGTTTCTATGGCTGCGCAGTTGTTTCAAACCAATCCTCAGTCAGGGCATTCGATGTCCACTTTTGTTCTAAACAATATATTTAGGTAAATTACATTATTTATTTAAATTGTTTATTTCAATATTTTATATTTGTTTTTTTTTTCTTTTCGAAATTCGAAACTAACTAATTGTTATTATTTCGGTAGGACTTTGGGCACACCGGATGAGTCGAGTTGGGTAGGTGTTTCTGACCTCCCCAACTATCCCAAAGGAGGAGAAGTCCATAAAATTGATGTAAGTAATTAGTTTATTAATTTTAAATATTTTATTAAACAAAAAGAATTATTATATTATACTTATGTTAATTTTGATCCTAAAATTTCAGGAGTTGGATGTTCCGACAAAAGTTGAGGAGGAAGGGAAGGACTTACTGAGGGTATGTAGGTTTATACCTTTTGTTTTAAATTATTCTATTGTTTTATTTATATTAAATAAAAATAAAAAAAAACTAATTTTTTTTTTTTTGTTTCAGAAATTGTTGACTGTTAATCCTAATCACAGGATTTCGGCTAAGGAGGCTCTTGATCATCCCTACATTAGGAATCGGAAGCTTAAAGTCATACTTTAGGAATCCGGAATTAAAGCATTTCAATGTCATACTTTAGGCTCTTAATCAAGCTTTGTGAGACTGCTTGTTGCAAGCATTTCAATGTTTTGTTGTAGTTAACGAATCCCATGAACCAGAACTCAAACTCATCCGCAGTCACTACATGTAAATACTTTTGTGGCAGCCTTTTCATGTTCTCGCTTTCATTCCATCTTTCGATCTTTTTTAACGGTATCACTATCTGCATATACATGAACATTATCACAAATTAATTCAATTATTCAACATATACATACGTCACCTAATTAGCATGTACATATATATATAATCTATGATTTAGAGTTGATTATTAATTATTAGTTGCATAATGTAGTACCTTGTAGTGGAACCTAAGAGGTTCTCCGGTGGGGAGGAAACTTTTGCGATTGGACTGTCACTGCAAAAGGCGAGTTTCTCTGTTGTTGAATTGACTACCTTATATTTTGATGATTGACTTACGTAAAACAAACTCCGACTAATGATGTTTAAAAGAGTCTTGGTTAAGCAGAAGATTCAGGTTTGAAGTAATATGTTCCGGAGTAGGAACAACAAAGTTTGGAAGACTTGATGATGAATGCAAGCTTTCAAGATGTCCTCATATCTCTATATACTTAGTTACTCAGTGTATGAACTTAAGAAACAAAAGTGTTGGAAGGAACTAAGAAGAAACATGAAGTTCCTGAAGGAACCTGAAGTTCCTGAAGGAACTTGACGATTGACGGATGACTCAGAAAAGTTTTTAACAGTTTTCAAAATCCTTAATTTAAGGAAGAGATAAAATCAGTTTGAAAATATTGGGATAAAATCAGTTGAAAAGATTTATTTTATAAATAAATAAAATCTAAATAATTCTTTAATTTAAAAGATAAATTTATTTTAAATTAATTAATTGTTTAAATATCTTTTTAATAAATAAATATTTATCTTTTTAATAAATGTTCTTTTAAACTGATTTTTGACTTGGTAAAATTCTGTTTGCTTAAAAACAGGATGCACGTTGGATTTGGGAGTCAAGTTAGTGAAATCATGGTTCTCAACTTCCTCCACTTACATCCCAACTTCCCAGTATAGGTGAACGTGGGATTGAGGGGGAAGTAGGAACATGATGGAAGCTTGGATAATCTCCCTATAAAAACAGATCAACGTTAAGTTTTGAAAGGGTGGAAAAACAATCTTAAGTATTCTGAGCATAGAGTTTCAAAGTGTTTAAAAGAGAAGTTCCTTCCATCCTTAGTCTCTTAAGTTCTTTAGAAAATACTTGTAATCATTGTGTAATTGGGTTTGGGTTGTGAGAGTTGTAAAGTGTGAGATTTGAGAGAGTTGTTTACACTGTACAAGTGATTCGGAGTAGAATCACAAAGTGTGAGAAACTGTGATTGAGGGATCACAGTTGGGTAACTTGAGTTCCTCACGGAACTTGAGTCTAGGCAACGTATTAGTGATTGTAAATCATTTTTACATAGTTAATTTATTCATTGCCTATCTCAGTGTCTTTTCTCTTAGTAGTAGATTTAATTCCACAAAATTTACCATAGTCTACATACACTACAATTCACCCCCCCCTCTTGTAGTATACATTGTTCTATCAGTTGGTATCAGAGCAAGGAACTCGGAAAAGCAGGAAGCCCTGTCGAGTCAAGTTCCTGGAGGAACAATGTCAAAGGACGAGAGACTAGCTGAAGGTTACTCTACACAAAGACCACCACTCTTCAATGGGAAGTACTATGCCTATTGGAAGACAAGGATGGAGATGTTCATACAGTCCGAGAATTATCAAGTCTGGCGAGCTATCGAAGTAGGAGATTACGAGGTAACCAAGACCAATGCAGAAAATGAGGTAATTCCTAAACCTATCTCTGAATATGATAGAAATGACTTTGAGAAGAAAGAGATTAATGCTACTGCTAAAAAACTCCTAGTTTGGGGTTTAGGGCCAGATGAACACACTCGTGTTATGGGATGTAAAACAGCAAAAGAAATATGGGATTTACTATAAATAACCCACGAAGGAACTCATGAAGTCAAACGTTCTAAAATTGATATACTGCTTTCTAAATATGAACGTTTTGAAATGGGTTCAAAAGAAACTATTCAAGAAATGTTTACTCGTTTTAAAAATATTACTAATGAATTAGTTTCTCTTGGTAGAGTTGTTCCTATGGATGAACAGGTACGCAAAATTCTAAGAAGCCTTCCTGAAGATGAACGGTGGAGAGCCAAAGTGGCTGCTTTGCAGGAATCAAAGGACTTTACAACCTTTAACCTTGAACAACTTGCAGGTTCCTTGATAACTCATGAGCTTCACCTATCAAACAAAAGTCAAGAAAGCTCAAAAAGCCGAGGAATCGCTTTAAAAGTTGCCTAACCAAGTGATGAGGATTCCGAATCTGGAGAGGAAGAAGCTGCCATGCTAGTCAGGAAGTTAAAAAAGCTGTACCGCAACAAAAGGTTTGGTGACCAAAAGAAAAGGAACTTCAAGAAGAACCAATACTCCAAGGAAACAGGAGGTTGCCACAAATGTGGGAACACAGATCACTTCATCAAGGAATGCCCTCTCTGGGAATCAGAAAAAGGAAAAGGCAAAATGAAGGAACACGGAAAATCTAATACTCCTAACTTTTCAAAATCTGATTACAGGAAAGCCATGATAGCTGCGTGGGGAGACACAAGTTCTGAGGATGAAGAAGAATCCACGGAAGAAGAAACTGCAAACCTGTGTTTGATGGCTAAACACAGTGAAAGGTCAAAGGAGGTAAATCTCGAACCTAAATTTCTGAAATCCCTGTCAAAAGACAAATTAATTTCTTTGCTCATAGAAACATTGGATGAATATAAAGAAATATGTCTTAAACTTGGACAAAATGAAAAAGCTCTAGAAATCTATAAGGATCATATGAAATATTTGAATAGTTCAAGAACAGATGTTCAGGGAAGATTCTTTGATTTGCTAGATAGAAATACTATGCTTAAAGAAACACTGGAAAGAGTCAAAAATGAAAATATCATATTAAATGTTGAATTGACTCAGTATAAATTGCTATGCACTAACATTGATTCTAATAATGCTCTTCAATTGCCTTTAGTAACCTTTAATGATGATCTTGAAAATTTGAAAAAAGAATTGCAGGTTACTAAAGACAAAAATGAGTTCCTTGAAAAGGATCTAGAAAGAGCAAGAAACAATGAGAGTGTAATCCACATGGGAGTTCCAAAGTGGATACTTGAAGCTCAAACCAGAAGGACAGAAGGTTTGGGTTTCAACCACAAAAAGAAGAGTAGTAGTAAAAAGAAAAACTATGTGGAACTTCCTAGTGAGACTGTGTGTTCCTTCTGTGGCAAGTCAGGACACAAAGATACTGAATGCAAAAGAAAGGAACTTAAGTCCACTAAAAATATAGTTTATGTATGGCAAAAGAAAAATGAGTCTGCTGTATCAACGAAGGAACCCATGAAAGATGGGGTTCCTGAATCTAACCCTTAGTTTCTTTTGCAGGTCGTAGTGAGGGGGAACAACCAATGGTACCTCGATAGTGGTTGTTCCAAGCACATGACAGGAGATGAATCAAGATTTCTCTCACTGACGGCCTATACAGGAGGAACTGTGACCTTTGGTGATAATAAGAAAGGCAGCATTGTTGCCGTAGGAAAAGTTGGAAGGTCAAGTTCCCAAGCTATTGATAACGTTTTTTTAGTCGAGGGCCTCAAACACAGCTTATTAAGCATATCACAATTTTGTGATAAAGGAAACTCAGTAAGTTTTGATTCTGAAAAATGTAGCATCATTCAGAATGACACTGGGAAAGTTTTGCTGGAAGGAACTCGGAAAGGGAACACTTATACAGTGGATCTCAATACAGTTCCGAGGAACAACTTAACTTGCCTCAGTGTCATTGAGGATGATCCTTTACTGTGGCATAAACGTTTTGGTCATGCAAGTTTCTCTTTGATTGATAAATTAAGAACAAGGAACTTGGTAGAGGGACTTCCTTCAATCAAGTTCCTATGTGACAAAATTTGTGATGCTTGTGTGAAAGGAAAACAGGTCAGATCATCCTTTAAATCCAAGAAAATGGTGAGTTCCACGAAACCTTTAGAGTTAATTCATATGGATTTGTGTGGTCCTATGAGGATTCAAAGTAGAAGTGGAAAGAAGTATGTCTTAGTAATTGTTGATGATTATTCTAGATTCACATGGGTAATTTTTATGTCTAGCAAAGATGAGACTTTTGATGAGTTTGTCACATTTTTCAGGAGAATTCAAAAGTCCACCGGACATCAACTGATACACCTTAGATCTGATCATGGCACTGAATTTGAGAATTTTAAATTTGATGATTTATGCAGGGAACAAGGCTTAAGTCATAATTTCTCAGCTCCAAGAACTCCACAGCAAAATGGAGTTGTGGAAAGGAAGAACAGAACCTTAGAAGACATGGCTCGAACCATGTTAATAGCCAGCGATCTTCCAAGGAACTTCTGGGCAGAAGCCGTGAATACAGCCTGTTATATTATAAATCGTGTCATGCTAAGGCCTATATTAAATAAGACACCCTATGAACTTATGAAAGGCAGAAAACCGAATATATCTCATCTGAGAGCATTTGGTTGTAAATGTTTTGTGCATAATAATGGTAAAAGGAACATAGGGAAATTCGATGAAAGAAGTGATGAAGCCGTATTTCTCGGATATGCTACTAACAGTAAAGCGTATAGAGTTTACAATAAACGCACTATGTGTGTTGAGGAAAGTGTGCATGTTATATTTGATGAAACTAATCCACTTCCATGTACACAGGAACATGAGGACTATGACTTTGAAATTGGTCTAGTACGTCCTCAAGAACAAGAAGAAGATGCAGTAATTCCAAATAAGCAGCCAACTCGATTAAATGAAAATCATGAAAATCCAGAGAAGGAACTCGACATACAGACTGAAGTTCCTTCGAGAGAACAGCCTCAGAATGAAGAACCTGCCGAGGAACCAATAACACAAGAGGAAATCACTGAAGAAGAAGCAACAGGCTCAGGAAATCAGAATAGTCGAGTTCCTATCCAAACCTTCCAGCCCAAACCTTGGAAGCACCAAAAGTCACACCCACTGGACAAAATTATCAGTGACTTATGCAAAGGAACTCAGACTAGATCGCAAATGAGGAACTTCTGTGCCTTCAATGCTTTTCTATCTACTTTGGAACCTCGCAACCACAAAGAAGCCTTAGAAGACCCTGACTGGATTATAGCCATGCAAGAGGAACTCAATGAATTCGAAAGAAATCAGGTATGGCATCCTGAACCTAAGCCACTAGATAAAAAGGTCATAGGCTTAAAATGGGTCTTTCGAAACAAACTTGATGAATATGGTACAATTGTACGAAATAAGGCTAGGTTGGTTGTAAAGGGATATAACCAACAGGAGGGTATTGATTTTGAGGAAACATTTGCTCCTGTTGCTAG